TATACAGCTTGTTTGGCAAATCCCTTGGAAGGTTTTCCTCAGTACCCAGTGAATATGGTCCGGTGGAGGAATTGTTTGCTAATGGCTTCATCTTAGGAGGAGACATTAGCTGCTCTTTGCATACAGGTCAATGCTACCTATTTGCAGCCGCGAAGTCGATTGAACATCTCGCACTGCTAAAAACCGAAACCTGGAATCCACGGTGTTATTTTATTTTACTAAACATTGCGTAATGAGTAAACTTGCAGACACTGAAAATTTCAATCAATAGCATATACCTGAAAAGGTTTGATGGGAAGCCTGTTGATGTTATCTGGTATGATCTCTGTTCAAAACGGTTTTTGAACTGCTGATTTGTTTGTTTATCCAAAACATGCCAGCAGGATCCCCCATCATTACTTCCTTCGAGTATCCTGTACAAAATACAGAAGCCATTAGGATTATAACTTAAAGGTTAATCAGTGAGGAAAACGAACAAGACTAACACAGTTTCTGACTTTTGGCATCCACACGTGGACGTTAAAAAGATTTTCTCAATTTTTCTGTCCCCTAATATTGATTATCCCACTCCCCGCCCCTCCCAAACAACAATATTCAACATCTCTAGGCAAACTTGGAACAAATTCAAAAATATTTTGTAACATTAGTCGGTGGATCTGCACTTAGTTCAAGTAACAAAGGACGTAAATTCTATTAAGAGACGATAACAAATAATAATCATATGGAGTTCCATGTAAAAATGAAAGTGTTGTCTGAATTTCATCAAAATTGTGGAATTTAAATCAACATTCTAATTCTATATGGAGTTTTATATGGGGCTTTTTTTTAAAAAAAAAAATTAGAATGGACTGCTCTAATTCCAAATAAAATTATTTACATGACGTTCTCTTATCATTTTAGAGGTAAATTCTATCATCCAATTGCACTAAGTCTAGATTTGCAAATAAATTCCACAAAATTTCTAAATTTCTTCCGAACATATCTTAATGAGCAAAGTTACAAAAATTCTCCTTGTGAATCCTTCTTGTGCGTAATAACGGAACAGACACTTAAACATAGAGTATTGAATTAGTTGGTTGTGCAGCAGAGTTTTAAGATGAGCCAGCCAGTTCAAAGTAAGGTTTGCTTAATCATTGATAAAATAATCATTGGCAACCTGAGCTAGTATAATATTGCATGCCACATCTCAATCAACTATGAGTGATAGAAGCCAGAAGTCCTACATAGAGGTGATTGGGTTATGATCATGTGTTCTAAAAAACATACCAATCCATTGGATCCCTCTCTGGCGCATCATTTGCAGACATAAATTCATAAGCAACAAGTTCATGCATCTTGTTCTCCAATGATTTATAGATGATCCAACAACCTACAAGATGAAACACGATGATAAGATAGTTATGGTCAAATACAAGCAATATACAGAGTATTGAAGGGGGATCCCAAAAGCAAGGAAGAACATTATTCTCCAAAGATTGATTAAGCAATGTTTTGAAAAGAGTCATTCTTTTCACCCTTCCTATTAGATACCAATTAATTGTTTACGGTACCTTTTCCACCATTTGGTTCTTCCCATTTAGACAAACGAGTTCCATCAAATGCTGATGTGGCCTGAAATTTTGTAAAGACGGGAGTCTAAAGGTTATCTACATGAACACACCATAAAGACAAATATAGAAGCTTTCTACCGCACTTACAATCCCAAAAGGAAGCTCCTCGCCACTTGCAAGGACAGAGCCAGAGAATATTCTGTTTAATTTTAGAAGTGGAAAGCTCAGAGAATCTTTTTCAAAGTTTTGGTATTTGTTCAAATTGTTGATCAGTACATCCAAAGCATGCAACACAACAGGCAGAGTGAAAGCGGCTTTTATAGGGTCCCCAGCTAAACATATGTTGACCCTGCCATCTATATCCAAGTTGCTCGTTAGGGAAAGAACATCAAGTAACTCGCCAACTGAGGGTATAAACTTATTCACCAAAGATTGACTCTCATTGGGCACTAGTCTTAAAGAAGCACTTCTTGTTTTATAGGGTTTTTTCTTGAGATCCACCAGGAGTCCTCTAAAAATCTCAAGTACCTCAACAACCTTGGATTTAGGTAGAGAATTCTCAATAAAACTAGAAAGGACAGGAGAAAATGCGTTGTAAATCCTTGTTACATGCTCATCTACGCACACACGGATGGGACAGGAAGAAGAACCAAAGGAGTCAGAACCAAATTCTGCCCTTGAAATGCGCCAGTTTTTGTCCCCACTTTGTCTTCCAGGTAAGGAGACAGAGGGATTGTCTGGAGATAGGATATCTCTCTCAATTGCCTCTTGCTCAATTCTGTCTCGGGCTTCAAGCTCTGAAAGTACTTGAGGTGGAAAGCTACTCCGACATTCCTTTGTCAAATTAGCAAGAGTGGCTAATAAAACAGATTCTGATGTCAGGATTCGCCGAGACAAAACCTAAAACAGAATAAAAAATACAAACATAACTGTTTTTATCAATAAACAATATGATTATGAGCTTGAGAAGTGAAATGAAAAAAATATAGCAGCCGGCAAAGCCTTGAATGGACAGAAAACTACACTAGTAGTTACCTCATGCCACTTTCTTGTATAACGTTTAGTGACATCATAAACTCCATCATTTGCAATAGCAATAATGTAATTCAACTTCTTATTCCACCTGAAAGAATCCATGAAAGAATAACAACTAATAAGCTAAAAGTAAACAAAAAGAAAAGATTTTTTAGGATAAAAAATAGAGGATTAAGGAGATTAACTCCAAAAATAAGGTAAACCATGTTGCTTAAAGTACCCTTTTTCATATAACAATGGTCTGTCATACACTGCTTCACAAGGATCAAGATGCATCCATCTGTTACAACCAAAACAACAAATTCAGTGAAATGTCACTGGACATGACTCCATCCATGGTTTAATGTCTCCAGAAAAACAAAAGCCATGATTTTTGTCGGTGAAGTTCACCTTCCCAAATACTGTGAAAAGCACTCTGTCCAGACGTGATCTGTGAAATCCAGAACCTGAGGATGAATAAACTATTAGTATACGTTGGGCTAAATGCTTCTTTATCTAGTTTATCTTACGAGGCTACAAGTCTTCCAGACCTAAGTTAGACTGTTACAGCTTCCCTTGGTGCCAAATTCCAGTAGGCAGAGCCAAAATTTAAGGTCCATTCTCAACTTCCTCAGCTTATAATAATATGGCACCCAGGTGCCATTCCCTCTTAAATAAATTCACATGCCAGTGAATGGTTGAGGAACTAACATTCAATACATCGACAATATAAAGGGAGTTTCACTTCCTAAACAATAAGATTGCTTGATTTTTGGAACATCAGATTCAGGTATTTCCTTTTATAGAGGACATAATAACTGAAGTATGAGAACTTTTGATCGCTTGCATTACTTTCCTATGAAAATTATGGTTTTGGTTAATTCCCTAAATTACGCAGAAATTACTTTTTACATTACTTTGCCAAATATTCATCTAAAAATTATGCAAATAATTTTTTTAAAAAAAGGATATTCATTTAAAAATTATACAAATAATTTTTTTAAAAAAGGGGCCCAAGTAGATGTAGGCTCTAAATATAAGTCATAGAGCCTAGTGTGCCATATGAGTAGTACCAATTAAGTCAGAACCAACAGTGAGATCAAATATTCTCCAGATAAATGACATATTATCTGCCACCTTGCTCATGGTCTGATTTAGAAAGAAGAACAGAGGAGAGACTAAAGAGAGAGAGAGACTGATCTCGGGAGAATTTTCCTTTTGATGATTCATTCATTTCAGGCCACCTATTTTATAGACTTTTGGTGGCAGGAATGGGAGCGTCTAACCTCCATGGGTGCCTGGAGGTTGCAACAGCCACAAGTGGCTTACAACAAATTGGATAAAGGTCCCGATCACCCAGCTGCATTCTTTTTATACCCAACTCCCACTTGCATGCTGTTACGATGAAAAAGACTAACCTACTCTTGAACAAAATGACCCTTTTGCCCCTGTACAGTCTTTTCCCATTTTACCCGTCTTCCTGCAGTAGACCTTGAGTGGTTTGTTTACACATATCTAGCTAGTTTCAAGTTTGTATGGCCAAAGCACTAAAATGTGTTTTCAACAGACATTTAGTATGGAGAAAACAAAAGAAGTTTGTACTGAAATTTTATGATCAGATGGAAAATAAGTTTCTCTACACAATCAAAATAAACTTCCTTCAACTGAGCAAAGTCAGTTACTGAGAAGTCACAAACAATGACATACCCGTCTTAAGTAGTTAGTGACTCTACAAAGAAAGAAAGTTGCTTTCTACAGTTACAGGGAAGTGAATAAAATAGAAAGAGGAAGTCATATTGCACACCAATAACAGAAAAATCCTCTTCAATTTTTTCATATTAATGAGCCTGCATGTCAATCAATCTGCAGGCTATCATATCACATATTTATACATAACTTGAACCACATCGTGTCGTTCTTTCATGTAATTGCTCATATTCATGTTTAACTACTATACCTTTCCAGTCAACTCTGTGAGGTAATGTCTCTCCAAATAATGGAGGTTTATCAATTTTCCATCAAAAATAGGTAGCCCAACTCCTATATCCATCTAAAGAGCTTCAAGATGCAAACAATTTTTGGGAGCATTTCACATGGGAGGCAACTTCGGACACCTAATTCTGGGATGCCTGATCCCTATACAGCTCTTGATTCAATAAGTGCTGCTTAAGAGGTAGGGAGCACAGTAATGAATGTGCTTTGGGCCTGGGATGCTATCTTGGCTAAGATAGACCATAAGGAGATTATTTCTCCTATCTATTATGTGGGTTATTCAGCAAGAGAGGAACAACTTCTGAGGTAGTTCTGCCCTTTAAGAGCCAATGGTTCCAAGTCCTCAATCTTTTGCTAAAAGATTTCCCTCTCCATGATGAGGAGGACATAGGTGATCCAAAAGATATTATGATCAGTACCCTATTGTAATAATTCATATGCATACGGGAGACAATCTCTTGGTGCTGTTTGATGACATTCGTTTTTCATTTCAAAGAATTGAGAATTTTGTGTATTAACATTGAATTTGGGCAAACTCCAATAGATATTACGACCTGTTGTAAATAAATTCATATGTATATGGGAGGCAACCTCTTGGTGTTGTTTGATGATATTTATTTCAAAGAATAGAGAATTTTGTGTATAACATTGAATTTGGGCAAACTTGATGACTAACCAGACGAGATTCATATCCAAAAGCACGGCAATAAAGTGTGAAGCAATTAGCCCACTCCCCACAACGCCCTTTCCTTGTTTCCAGAAGCTGCACACCATGAAGAAAAGAAAGAAAAAGAAGATGAAATTGATGATAGATGACCTTATAAATGAAATTTAGAGGCTTAATTTGCAAAAGCATGACAAGACATACCTTTATTGGATCATTGTATCTTGGAAATCGAGTGATTCTTGAACATAAATTACAGCTGTCGTTGTCCCATTAAATAAAAGCAAATACAGAGAAGGCAAAATAAAAAAGTCAGAATGCAGAGATAATTTCAGATACTGATATGCAAAGTAAATAAAGATTAATCTAGAGACACCTTGCAAACCAAACGAAAGAGTAGAAAATAAATGGATTACATTAAATCAACCGGAAGAAACCAACCAATTTTCTTTTTATATTATTCTTAAAGCTCTGTGCAAAAGACACTTTATGATATCAAGATGAATTTGGAGATGAAGAAATAAAATAACAAAAAAGAGTTCCAAAATAACATTTCAGCAAGAACTTAAGTTTCAAATACAATATATCAGCTCCTGATACTTATATCTAGTCCAAGTAGTAGTCACAATTATATTTGACAGAAATGAATTTTCCGTCCTACATGATAATGGCCAAGGTTGCAGTAGAAAACTACTTCAAAATAATCAAGTGAAACTTGTTAGAATTTTGTGATTCATGATTTGAATTGTTCGATTCAATTAGATTTAGTTCCAAAGTGATTTGAATCTACGAGCGAATCATAATTTATCAAGAATTGTGGATGAATCATGAGATCCATAGTGAATCACTTGTGGGACTTGATTGACTCTAGTCAAAAACTGAATCCAACTGAATACTTAAGTAACTCATTTACTTACAAGATACAATTTTGAGGATGATAATAGGCCATTGAATTTTGTTATTTAGGATAACTAACAACGTTATCGTATATATCTATACAATTTTCTGCAGAAACAGGCATTTTTTTCAGTTGTCCATGATATTAGTGAAATTTTTTCAAATATATTTATTTTCTAGTGTTTTATATTTCTGTGATATATAGGATAGTATTTGATTCATTAACTATGCTTTGAATGTTATTGTTCAACTTGATTATGATTCTCGATTCAAAAATTAGATTTTTGGTTTGCAGTTTGAATCTCAATTGTCCTAATATAGAAGTCTTACGGGTTGAATGTTCTTGTTGTCTTTAATTATGTAGTTATCTTTTGTACAGTTGTGCCATAGGTAGTTAGGATAAGTTGTAAGGGCAGTCCATACATGAGGGAGCAATTTCTTCTGTCCAGGAAGTTAATCCTTATAGCAGTTGTTAGTCCGGTAAAAAAAGATCAAAGCATAAACTAATTAAAGGTAGGCAGAATTTCAGAAAAGTTGATTTGGTCTTTTGTTCATGAGATCAAAAGTTCTCTAATGAGCCATTAAAAATATCAGTTAATAATAGGTAGAAAAGCAAGACAAAACGCTATATAACAAGATTGCAAACACAAGGGGCCACATCAAAAAGGCATCACAGAAACTAGGATAAGAAGAAGGTGATTTAGGACACATATGTAACTGTTGACCAAGAAACAGGAAGCAAAAGGAAGATCATGAAAAAAGAAGAACAAATGAATGAGCAGCGTAATAGCTTCTATCGGAAGATTTGTTTTAGAATAAAAATTAAAGAAGAAACAGGCAACAAACTAAATAAGCAGTTGGATGAATAGGTTAACTTTGCTTGACAGAGTATCAGAACTAGCGCTTCTAAATTAGACTCTTGCCGTTATGAAGGTGCTTTAAAATTCTACTCGAGTATCAGAACTAGTTGATATACAAGCGCAAAAAAGTCAAATAACACATTAAAAAAAGAAGAATTATACAAAGAAAATGACAAATTGGCAGCAATAGATCAATATATAAAAGCCATGAAGTCAAATTGAGAAGTTAAAAATTAAAATATAGGAACAGTAAGAATCCCTGGACATACCGATAAAGTTCTACTCGAGTTCCTCCATAACGAATTTCTGACTCAAGTGCATTTCCCAAACCTTGACTAACAGTTTCATTGCCACAACCATCACATGGAGGTCTATTAACCCATCTGCAAGATCATATCATGAAAACAAGATTTGTCCAGTCAAAAATTACTAAAGAGTACTTGTTTACTGTAAAATTTCTTCTCCGAGATTGAAAATCAGTAGCTGATTCTGCTGCCTTCGCATCAAAAAAGAAAAGAAAAGAAAAGAAACCCTCTGCATAATAATAAGGTTGTGAACAAGATGCCATAAACATGAAATTTCAGTATTAATAAGCTGCCAAAAAGAAAAGAGAAACAAAGGATGTTTGCCAAAGTTCTTCATTTACAACGTGTAAAAAATTTCTGAAGTTCGGAATAACAACACTTATAAAGAATAGAATTCATAGACTTGCAGATAAGCTGAATATCTTCAGAAATGGAAAAAGAGAACCTAAAGACTATGTAATCCTTTCAAGGACAAACAAGTGCAGGCCAATGTATAATTATATCAGAAAGCAACAGAAGGCACTGTTCTAGAAAAAAAAAATGTAAAAGAGCAACTCCAAACACCAATAAGCAAAATGAAATTACACAATTATTTAGATACAAAGGAACATACGCATATTACATAAAAGTAAATCACCGTTATATTTTTGGATGCATATCCAATCACAAAAAGTAATTAATTAGAGGATATTTCTTTTCTCTGTTAATTCTCCTTTTCTGCTACAAGCATAGAAGTTTTTTCAAGCTTCTCTTATTGAAAAAATAAACTAAATTATTTAAATTAAAATTTTACTTTTACAAAACATTACAAAAATTAAAAATTTAATCTAAAGGAATTTCCACAAGAAATAAACCTCGCTATTGTTTTTCACTTGATGATTTTTCAGCTTATTTCTTGGCCCATCTGATTGTTTTGATACAACAGTATTCTATTACACATAGGGAAACTTCGATATAACAGCAGGGTAGTAAAGGGCACCTGAAAGATTGTTTGAACCAAAAAAGCAGCTGCAGCAGGAAAGCATGGTCTTGTTCAATTTTTGATGGTTTAAAGTTCCCCTCCTAAAACATTATCAGGATTGCCAATTATTATGACAGTTTTACATCATAAATTATAGACAAGCAATGATTCTATATTATGGGTATCTACAATATATGACATGCTGTGCCATATCTACATAACCTATCAAACTACTCAAAGAGTACTTTATTTAAGAGAACACAAAAGGATCAATGGCAGTAGGTTCCACCATATTTTGACGCACATCATTTTCAGCAGCAAACTCGATTTCCTACCACCAGTTGCAAATAAGTTGTACCCAAAAATACATGGTCTAATGTTATATATACTATGAAGACATAAAGTACTCTTTTTTCATACCATTATCATAAGAATCTGATGGTAAGTTTTCCATATGATATAACAGAGAAGCTCTTACCTTGGCCAAACTAACCAGTGCTTTCTCCTCGAGCCTTTCTAAAGGAACTGTTTTCCTAGCAGCCTCCTGACGGACTGGATCTTCATACTTCAGCAACAACAGGCCAATTCCCATTTATAAGTCTCCCTTTGATGAAACAAAACTATTCCGTTTTCCCTATGTCACTCCCGCATTTTCTCGGCAAGTAGCCAAAATTATGAGATAGAATTTTTTTTTTTTTTTAAAGAAAATGCAAGTTTACCATCCGAACTTCAGTGATATAAGGCCGTATCTTCTTATCAATTCCCTCCGTGTCTTTTCCGCCAACATATTGTCGAAGGAAAAGCTCTTCCTCCTCTGCCTGAACATCACAGAACAAACATGTGAAAAACAACTGTAAACAAGCAGAAATTTCTCACCGAGCAACATTTCTTAAAAATTAAAAACAGAAAAAAAAAAACCTGCAACATTCGAGCCAATTCCTCATCGGATTTTATTAACTCCGCATTCGATTTCTCGCTACCGCTTGCCTCTTGTTTCTCTTCGCTTTGGTCAGTGATTGACACCAATCGGAGCTTCTCTGATACGGACATGAGATCAGAGTCCTCTAATACCGGCCGATCACTATCCTCCGCCAATACCTAAAGCCAGTCAATAGTAAATAACCACTCATCAACGAATTCAACACACGAACGCACATCGCACATGCGCAGATAACTATCAAGTAAGAGAAATGACGACCTTTTGTTCATCGGGAAGAATTGAAGTGAGAGAAAAGAGCTGTAACTTGAAAACCTACATTCTCGAGGTAGAAAATGTTAGATACTTATCTGCACATAAATAGAGGAGATACTATGAAATACGAAGAGATAGATAGAGACTTCCAAGCCGTCCTCAGCTTCATATTCGACATCGAAGGTAGAATCTCCATGGCGGACCAGGAACTTTCGAGCTACCATTTTTTCTCTCTCGCCGGACTGGTTTTCGCACAATGTTTGAGGGAGACAACATAACGCAACTACCGCTCGTTAGAATTTTAACGTGGGCTATAAAAAATTTTTGTTTAGTTTTAATTTTTAATGATAATAAATAATACTTGAGTGATATTTGTAATGATAAATTTTAAAATTATTGAATCCGTGTTAACAGTTTTTTTTTTTATATTTATGTATAATATATTTAATTTTATTTTTATATTTATAATTTATTATTTATTTTATTAAATATAAAAATTTAATTTATAATAATTATTTATTTAAATATAATTATAATTATATTGATAAATAATTTAATTTTTTTATTATATATTTTTTATATACTAATTATTATTATATAAATAAGTAAGAATAAATTAATTGTAACAGTTTCGAAAATTTAAAATAAAATATATAATAATTTAAGTACAAAAACGAAATAAAAAGTTAAGATTTACATTTTTTACACAATAATTTAAAAATACTAAACAAATATTACGGAATGAATTCTCTGAAATAAACACGATAAATAAGAAAAGTAATGGAAAATAAAAAGTATCTACCATCTACTCGCAATCTTCTTGCGGATCAGGCTCCGGAACTAAATTCTCTTTATTTGAAATGGTTAAATAAATGATGAGCTACACTAGTACAGTAAGGATATCACACTATATCACCGGCACAGAAGTAAATGTTGGTATAAAATCAAAACAACTAATTGAGCACTAAATTTAGCAAATTCGTTTATCAATCATAGAAACAATAATATCATACAGATAATAACTTTATGAACAATCTGCAACATAAAACATATCATAAATTCATATTCATTAACAATAAATAAAATCATAATCATTTCTCATTTCACCAGTCTACTAGTATCTATGGGGGTTCATAGAGGTGTCTCCGCTACACGTGAACCATTTTCCTTAACAATCTCAATTACAGAGTCATCCCCATACCCCGTCCAGTATGAACGCCAAAGATATTAAACCTTAATACCCTGTCTGATATGAGGGTGAAGCGGCCCGTCCTCATACCCCGTCCGGTATGAGCACCAAATTACCATGTCTTCGGTTTTCCGTAATATTTTGGCCCCCCGAGGGCCCTAGGGTTGTTTTATCACAGGGACCGATGCAAGTGTGGCCGAATTCGGCCGGAAACGGCCAAAAACGGCCAATCCGAGGCGAATTGCCGCCACAAGCGGCGACGCCGTCGCTGGAGCACGGCGGAGCCGCCGTGCTGGAATTGCGATATTGGCCAAAAAGGGGCCCTGGGCCTAATTTGGGATTTTTTGGAACACATGCAGGTACCAGTAGTGCGTTTCAGTTCCCCGGAAAAAATTCAGAAAAAATTAGGGACAGCCTGTAGGCGCACTGTGAAGCCGTGTTCGGACTCCGAAACGAGTAAGGATCTCTCACCCTATTTCCTATCACGGTATTAAAGTTCAATAATGATAAAACGGTAATTCTTGAATCAACGAATGTGTGAAATTGCTTAAGGTCGCTAATGGAGCCCGAGTCTAGTGTTTTTGTCGGTTAACTGTTATTTGGCATATTTTACAGTTTTAAATGTAGTATGAGGTCTGATGTTTTCATTTCATTGTTTCGCGTGCATATTTTACTGTTTTATTGATTATAGGTTGAATGACTGAGAAACCGATGCTGTATGTTGTCTTGT